GTCGGCCCTTTAGGTGTGGATTGGACTCAGAGGCCCTGCCAAGGGATCTTATTATGATTAGTATCATTTAAGGGCCCCTCCAGGGATTTTGTTGCTAATTTGCCCTTTCGGGCTCCAAAGGCCTTGTTTTGGGATTTTGTTACGGTTTACAGTTGTAGTAANGGGATTATTCGACATTATTCACCGAACCTGAGGCGAATAATTGTTTTAGTATAATTTCAGAGCTGAAGAACAGAGAAATTTCTAAAATCATAACATTTTAGTAACATTTATTAACTTTTTATTTTAACATTTTATATAAACCGCGTGGAGCGTTTAAAAAAGCGTCATATAAGGAACCGCTCGACCAATCAGATTGCTGGAAACTCTTTGCTCAGCTCTGAATTCATACTAAATACAGATATATATACATATACATATAACTAACATATATAAACTTCTACTGTAATTGGAAGTGAAAGTAAAAAGTACTTCAAATATAAATTAACATCTAGTCTCCCTTTTATGGTAAAGAGTAGTTAAAAGAAGTGAATATACACAACTTTATATGCGTGTATTCAACTTTATATGCATACCCTGTTTCTTCAAGGTTTATTTCTTGTTCCACATTTACATTCATCTGTACACAGCACGTTTCTCCCTTTGCACGGGCACCCACGAGAACTATTTTCTTTGCGCTTCGTCGTACAAGCACTTTTACCTTTACAAAAGATCACCGAAGGTTCCTCAGTAAAAGAAATTCACTTTCATGAGCATTTTCTTTGGATAAACTTGATTTAAATGCAAAATATATGCAGAATTCTTCAACTCACTGATATTTCCATAATGGCCGTCGAGCGTGACAAGTCTCGGAGAAAGTGTATGCTACTGCGCATGTCAACCCGTGACAGTGTTACTTTAACTTCTCTTATTCTTCCTGGATGGATGAGCCAATCTGCAAATACTGTATGAACTTGACCACTGAATATTTTTTATTGGACCTTTTGAATCTAGCAAGTATCTTCATTTGGGGAATGACAATATTTATGTTTAAGATCCACAACAGAAATAGTTGATGAAGATTCTGCAATAGCTGTTTATTTTTTTGGTGCCTTAGCTTAACCTGTTCTGTTCACAACCGAAGTTTATGGCATCGTCTGCAAAATTGTTCAAAATCATTTTCGTTTTGCTGTTGAGAAAGGAAAAATGTTATTTCCAAGACACCCCTTTTCGTCATCAGCCTGCAAACTTTTCTGCAGATATCAAGTTTGGTAGTTACAGAGGACAACAATCAGTTAACAAACCCTGATGCTTTATTTCATTGAAAATTCAGGAGTACATTGATTGACTAAAAAAAGCAGGTCTTAAATCTAAAGTTCAGTTCAGGTTGTCTGGTTCTTCAAAAAAGAAAAATGCTTTCATTCTTATCCCTCCATGTTTTGTTCTGAATATAGAATATGAAGCACTTGTGAACGCAAAATCTAACCAATTATCCTATATCTTTTAACAGATGTTCCGTTAAAGCAGTATAATTTAAAAAGAAAAGTAAATCCATAGTTAGGATGGTAAATCGTAAAACTGTAAATCGTTTCAAAAATGTCCCAAGTCTTCAGAAAGGTTAATTGAAATTGCACCTAATCACTTAGAATCTGAGGAACTTCAGCATGCTTATACTTCAAATGCCAGAATTATTTGGAGGAATATCAGAGCTATGTACAGTTTTACACTTTAAAGGCAAACTTTAATCAGATGGGTTTCTGGATCTTCTATGGCCCTAGCTCTACTAGGTCTAACTAAGCAGTAAACAACCAGAACAAAGATGAATTTAATTGTTTCTGATCCCTATAGATAAATTTTATTTGGCGGATATGTCCGTCCTTTTTTCAGATGATAAGTTTTCATTTACTTCTAAACAACATTGTTATAGTTATCTGCATTTTCAGTTTCATATTTTCATTTAAAACCAAAAAATTAGACTAATACACGGAGGTAGTGGATCATTCATCTGTGAACCACTCCAGTAATTGACATTTAATAAACTATTATTTGAGTGATATAAAGCAAAACTGATACTTAGCTGATGTTTAAACTTTATGATAAAAGGTCTCGCGTTTAAAACTATGATCAGTACATAGCTTTATGAGCGGTGTACAGGTTATCTTCAAGGCGAAGAACGTTCTTGAGATGGATTTCAATGTTGTCGAGATCAAAATCGAAAAAATAACTTAGTTCGAAGTGCCGTTGTCTTGCACATCTGAACTGCTTGTGTTATTGCTATCACAGTTGTACAAAACTGGCCTCTTTGCGGTTAGAAAGCAATTCTGTTTACCATCAGACTGCAAGAGAGCATAAATCGGAACAGGACACCATGATCATAAAATCGAACGATGAATCACATGGCCAAACTCGTTGTCGTATCATCAGGATTACACAAATGTACGAAAATGGATTACAATATGACAAAAAAATATATTACCATACACGAGCAAATCTTACTTGTGTTCCAAAAGCTACTTCTACTATGACTGGAAAAAGATTTACCGACCTTATTGTTCGAGATGCGGCCGGCGCTTTCTCGTGAAGATGTTCGTGCTTGAACTGAAACACTCACACTTTCAAGTGTCACCTCTGAGTCGGACGCAAATGTTACACAGATCTGATGTTTTTACTTCCCTCCTAAATTTTACTGTTCTGCAGAAAGGCCCTATAAGAACTAAGAAGAAGGTAAGAAGGGAACATGTATTTTGCCTCTCAGAGTAGGCGCCATTTTGGAATATTCACTAACGTCACTTCAAATCCATTTTGACATTTACGCATGCGCTATTATGGGCATGGACCTGAACTTTTCTGAACGTAAACCGCAGCTTCAGTTGCAATGACTGTTTGCTAGAAATTAATCCTACCCGGAAGTTGGTCCGTATTGAACAACAGCCATTGTTAGCGGATTAGACCTACCTTTTCTGGATAGCACTCAAACAGCCCCAGACTACAGACACTTTGAAATGACAATGCTTGAATTTCTGATTAATAAGGTTACAAATTCACAGAAGATATTCGAGTGCTCAGGTAATCCTGATCAGCTGCTCAAATCTGTTACTAATCGCTTCTCAAAATTGTTGAGATTTCTGCCATTTGAGACTCGTATGTACTTAACGGCTCTAGAGCTGAAAGGTCCTCAAGATAAGCGTCCTCTATTAGGTAAAACTTGGTAGTGTAAGTTAATGAGATATTGGAAGGGCAAAGCCTTCACCTAAAGAGGGATGAAGATCCCATTTCTAAGGTTTATCATGTATGGTCTGAAGCAAAAGTAATTCAAACATTGGCTAATTGGTGTCATACGAAAGGGGCTTAAGGTTTCAAGTGATCTATTTCAATTGCACGTGCGTTCATGATGCACATGAACGCTAAATGACTAAACAGATAGGTAATCCATTGTTAGTGTATGAGGAATAAGGTGCTCAGCTACTTGTTTATTCAGAATAACTTTAACTTCATCAAAATTTCATAGTTCAACCGCCAGACAGAAAAGAACATTTGATCACTCAGGAGTTAGAAGGAACTTTATCCTTTATCAATATGGTTCCCACTAACTCTTCTTTCCTTTCCTTGAAGTAAGATATAGTTTCTAGGGATAGGGATTGCCTGCGATCGTGAGTTGCCGGAAATTTTCTCACAATTTTTTCCATATAATACTTTTGCAGTTAAATCAAACATTTGATGCAACAATAAACTCTTCTGTTACTTTATCAGTGATAGTCAAACCTTAGATCTTACTTCAAATATTTTTCAAAATATAGTCAGCCATTCACATAAACATATAACCCATGTTAAAAGATTACCATCATTGTTGAGTACTGATTCGAGTAACTACGCGATTCAATCATCGGAAACAGACTTTACAATGACATGACAAAACAGCCTGAGCATGTTCAAAGAAATGACATTGTAGCTCATCTTCATTATCAATTAACCGTTTAACTCTTAGGAGGAAACAAAATGAATTGCTTCTTACAACATCAATATATTTTGAAGCAGGAAGGTAATGAGAAGCAAAGGAATATCTACCAGATGTTATGGATATCAAAACAAGTTCTCAGAACTTAACTTACAAGAGATGTGTGAAAGACAATGTGGAACACTGATGTTTACATCTTGAAAGTAAGGTAATTGCACTAGTATTGATCAGGTTAATCGGCAGGTAAAACAATGCTGAGGTTTTGGCTGAGTTTGAGTAATTTCGGGAGTTCAACTTTATGCTTAACTATCACAAACAACCTTTAGTTCTAGTAAAATACCTGGAGAGACTGAGTGCAGAATGTGAAAATATTTTTAATTTCTTTACAGTTTGTATTTCTGTAAGGTAACAATTTTTCTGGGAATGGAAGAGAAAATGTCGGCATGAAAAGTACGCAAAGGGGTACAACCAGTTGTCAAAATATCGACAAATTGTGGCTGAATCTGTGCTGCAATTTTGAAGAGCAGAGGTACAATAACAGCAACTATCAAGTTATCTATTTATCAATCAAATTCCATGGATTCTGCCAATATAACTTGGATTTTTTATCGAATCTGTTAGTGATGTAAGTTCAGTCATTTTTTAGTAACATTGTTGATACTAAATGCAAAGTTTTTCATAGTCTTGACAAACAAATGCACAGCTAATTTCCCCTATTCCTATTATTCACCAAGTCTGTTTGTAACGTGATGATTGCTAACAATTATCATGGAGGAAGAATATTTGTTTTCGAGCAAATGAACATCAGGGCAAATTACCTTTTTCGATACTGAATATGCCAGCTTTTTCTTTGTAATTTTGCACGGTTCTCGGTCGTTTCCGCGAAACTAACAAACGTTTACAAAGAGAGCAACATGGAATCGACTCTCTGTTATCAGCGTTGCAAACTAAAAATGTCTCCACGAATTTCCAAAAACGTCGAAATCACCAGCGTAAGTCTCTATTGAGATCTCCCCTCTAACGTGAATTGTTTCATAACCAGCGAAACCGTACAAAAGAAAACACGTCCGCAAAAAATGTTTATTGTATAATCAATGTGATCGTTTGTAGGAGAACAAAGCATAACCATAACAGAAACTGCACAATAGCATGAGGCACGATTATAATGAAAAGAAAAAAAAAATACATGACTTATCTCTGTGGTCATTTGCTTTTTTTTTGTCTTAAGTGTACTTCTCCGCTCCATGGATTCAATAATATTGCATTCGAGGCACAATATCTCATCTGTTACTCGTAGGAATATCTCTTTATTCTTGTTGTCGAAGAAGTCCTCAGCTACGTACCTGCTTGTGCAAGAAATTAGTAGTTGGCTTTTATCTGTGTACATTTCAGTTGCTTGGAGTTCATCTGAGCTCATTTCAATTCATATGCACCTTTCAGTTTTCCTCGCGTTTCTGTCCGAGTTCGTGGACCGACCGTTCTTAAACCAACGCTCCATAGCTTCCAGCGTCGCTCCATCGTGAACGTTGCTTGCATTTTTAGTACATTTTGCCTGTCCCAGGCGAAAAAAAAATTCACTACGCAAGAAATTAAACTCACAATCACTAGCCACTGCTCCTAAGTGGAATTTTGAACTAAAGAGAAGCGCCTGTGGTTGTTATATGATGATGAAGCATGATCTCTTGTCTCATTGCAAACTATGAAATGCTTTACCTTAACCAATCGATTTCCCTGCTCACCATTATATCGTTTACTTTCCTACAATCCAGATTTGCCGTCCACTTATGGCTTATATGTTCCAATGAATTGTTAGGGCCAAATTATCACGGGCGTGTTCTACTCGACCAAAATTTTCGGCAATTCCGGTGTAAAATCGAAAGAAACAGAAAATTTCCGGAAACTCGTTTCGAAAATTCTGGTCAAGCTCTCGAGGTGTTCCATTTTTCCGGAAATTTGGATATTTCAGAAATTTTCTCAGCCATTTGGCTTTTCCACCCGTTACGACTTGTTCCTATTTCTACAACTGTAAATGTTTACCAAAACACTTCAATAAAGCTTATTACAAGATGGCGGCGTTACCAGATCTGCATGTGAGGTCAAAACGATCTGCCACAGCCCGAGCCGGTTCTTGATTAGCCATCCTCCACAATAACGATACAATCTGCTTTTCCGTGGAGCAATGACTGATCGCCCAGAAAAATTAACTATGGGTACTTGACCGGTTTGCATTATTGCTTGCGAGATAATTTCAAAGTTTATGTCGTTTACGGAAATGTTGCTTGAACCCCAAGTTGGTCGAGCAAATATCTCGGAAGAGTTCGCTCTAAATAATCGCGAATACGTGTTACTATTTTTCGCATAAAGCAACTTATGGCACTTAAGACAAATATTTCATCACTGTCTTCAAGCATATCGTCGAGTAAATGCCGTAGCTTAAAAGCGAAGAGCTAGGCGCGCGGAAATTTTTCCCGCGTGGGAATGGAATAAGAAATTAGAAAATACGGTTCCGATTCGAAACGCGAAAATTTTTTAAAAGCAAATCGGAAATTTTTGATTAAATGGAACGCACCCATCGTGTACCACAGATGTATAGTTATTTTCTATGTTTGTAACTGAAGAACAACGAACTATAATGTATTTAACCAAAGCCTTGTAAAATACTCCCTGTCGCTTGGCTTGGCTCGAGTGTTTAAATCGTCAACTATCGCCACAGTCCAGTTTGGCGTAAACGAACCAATCCTGCATTGGTTTTTGCAAAATTCGTTATTCATTTTTCCGGAAACTGATTCTCTTTAGTTACTAGCGTACTTCCCACTTCTGTAGGACTAGGTTACACTGTAAGAGCGTAGAATGTAGTGAGGAGTGCGGACAATCCGCGTCTCCCCGGAAAGAGAATTAAGCGATTCAAATTTTACAATATCCTTAAAATACCACCTTTACTAAACATAGTTGAAGTTTAGAGACATCTTAAAATGAATAGAACTTTTGATGACAACTGAACAGTTTTAACAAGTAAAACCTGCTTTTTCAAGTAAATAACAAGTTTTGTTCTGGAGTTTTGGCTATCAAATATGGCTTAATAGATTTACATCAGTATTGTATTTCAAATAACTTCACGTAGCACTTGTATTTTCACATGCAACTGAACTACATTCACTTTTAGAAATTGACAAAAATCGATGAGATTTTGAGAAACAAAATTATTGCTCACTGTTTGTCATCTTCTATGCTTTAAAACGAACAAAAAAGTCTAAATAACAGTTCAAATTACGTGCTGATCAGTTCTTGCCTAAGTAAGCACATTCGCGATGCAGTGTTCAACGACACAAGGCCTTCATAGGCCATGAAAATCTTCGAGTAATGAGTGTGAATAATTTCTTCAGCCAGTCTCACCACTTAATCACCGATCAGTAGATTGGACCTCATTGATTATTAGCATCATACATGACTGAGAACATAAGCCTTAATAACGCATAGTAAACAGCTATATTTTACGATAAATTGCACCCACTCTTTCCTTGACGCATTCGGATCTGTGATTTATTCTATTGATTTAGTCGTACAGTACGTGATCAAAATGATATAATCTCATTATCTTGTACTCCAAGTGTCCTTCTTGTGGTTTTGCATTTGCCGTCAGTTTTCGCTCAAGTGCTTGAAGATTAGACTTCCACCTGTTTTAAATTAAAAACATCAAAATGATTTTTGATCGTAATTATCTACTGAGCATCGTTGTGACCCTGTTTCAATTCCACGAACCTTCTTCTCGTCGTCTAAAAGTTTCAAGTCTTCCCTTTCTGACAAGTCTCCGCAATGAAGGCATGATCAATGTGCTACACTCTATTAACTGTCTGTGATATGGAACAATCGTAAATTTTGCGCGGATTAAAATTCTTCAAACCATTCTAATTACTGTCTTCCTTTATTCCAGATCATGTTGATGACACATTTTAGGTTATGAATTGAAAAATATAACGCAGTAAATCGACAGCAAAAAAAATTGGAAATCTTCAGAGTTTGTTCCCATAATTTTTACTAACATTGCCAAAGCGAAATACCCTACCAAAGACCTCGTTGCAGTTCTCTAGATATATCTTAATCGTTTTCAAAGAGCGTCACATTGCCTTCTTTCTTTGGCTTCTGTACATCAACGTTCCCACTGGAGATAACTTGACGCACTGTCGCGTGGCATGTTATTATATTTGGAGCGCCGATATTTGGAGATGATGATAAACGAAAAAGAGATCCACAGTCCTTTTAAATCTCGTGGCACGTGCTGCGTCCTCCAATGCGGAGTCAATTTCGACTCCCAGACTCCTAGCGATTGATTGTTGTCTAAAAACGTCATTGTTAAGGAGACGATAATCCTATTATGGCTGACGGTTGAAGCAGTACATTCCACCGTGACATTTATAGATACTTTTGATTTCATTACAAGCCTTTGGTTATAGTTAACGAAATAGAACATGTATATGTTAACTAGTTAGAAAAATGTTCTGCACAAATTTAAGAGTTTTAAGAAGCAAAAGAAGAAAGAAAGAAAAAGCCAGAAAGAAAAGAGGAAGTAAGGAAAAAACATGTTTCAGCCAGAAGAGACCAATTAAAGCACGAGACCGTCTTTGGAGCAATTTTCTCGTGATTTACTCGATTTTGTCAGAGAGGCCTGGGGTAGACTTAGCCATGAAAGAGAGGCGGCTGCGATCGAATGACAACTTGCAAAGAGTTTTGTTTTTAGTCTATTTGAAGTCGATAAACTGTACATATACAGGTGGAGTCGGGGGCCTTTTACTGCTTGAGAACATCCAAATTGTCAAGACGTTTACTATTCAAAGTTAGTGTCACCGAGAATTGCATCGAAAGAGAAACTAAATGCTGAAGTCTTGCAATAGCTCTTATTCCAGTTCTGCGTACGCGGTTTAGTTGGACACAGGCTTTCTGTATTAGTGTACGCGAAAGCGAGGCTGTCGGGTCAAGCTTACGCGACCGCTGTCCAACTAAACCGCGCACGCGGATCTGGAATAAGAGCTATTTAAAGTCTCTGTGATAATTATTGTGCAAACCCAGTTGAATTCGTTTGCGGAACGGCAAAAACTTAAACATGATGTTTTAAAGCTATTTTTTAAACAAGTTTAAATTTGTTTTTTTTTCATAGAGGCTGCTTAAAACGATATTTGTCGACTTCAAATTTAGCACATTGAAAATACAAGTTAGCGATTACTTAGATTCTATGGAAAATTCTTTCTTTTTTTTTTTTTTTTTCAGTTCTCTGATTCTGATTTCCATTCAGTCACACCCGGTTTAACTAAATATGTTTTGCTGGTGTAAATGGAGTTCAACTCGTGGAAGCACGACCTCTTAAGCTGCACACTAAATTAATAACCGAAGTTTCAACATTGAAACTCTTACAACGTAAGTATTCAAATTCACCAACACAGCGGTCAAACGTAGAGTATGCGCAAGGGGATCTATTTCGGCCGGTCGCGCACCAATTTTACACGCAACATATTAAAAGAAAACATAAGAAACACCCGCTGTCATGCAAAACATGCTAAAAAATTGAAACGTTCATAAAAAGCTGGTAAAGAGAATACTCGACACTACCGAAAAAAAGCTTATCTAATTAAATGTATCCTGTGGATTAATCATTTTGTTTTGAGCTGTAGAAGGAAATTCACTGGCTTGTGTCCTTGTTAATAACTCCTCTGAAACAAATAGGTTCTGACGTCAATGGCGGGTTTATAAGAGGGTTGCCAGTTTATCAAGAACGGGTAGGTCCAAATAAGACATTTTTGTCAGGTATTGGGATGAACTTCATGCAAAAAAATTACATGTTCAGATGCATCATGGTAACCGAGCTGATATCGCCCACTGATTTGAAAGAAAGTGCAAATTTTAGAGGCACACGTGTGAATTGCTCACACTGGTAAATTTCTACAAATGACAAGATTTTACCAAAACTAAGTTTATCAATTTATTAGTTGGTTTTTCGCAGAGGAAATAGTTTTTAAACAAGGCCGACACACATTCATGAAATGTGCTTGTTCATTAACTGCTGTGCCGGTCTAAAAGTACACAGTGTAATACTTGAAAATATGCAAGGGTATACTGTGATTCTGAAAATAGCTTTATGGGGGACAAGGAAAAATATTCTTACTAACAATCTACTTAACAAGTAATGCAGCTTGTTACAAACTGTGAGAAAAATACTCTGATGTTGTACAAGCCAATCACATCTATTGACAATCTCGCATTTAGAACTACCGTAATGTACTTTCCTGTCGGGACGCGCGGTCGACAAAGCGTTTTTAAGCCGACTCTCAAGTTCAGTCTTTGGTAATCTAGTGGTAGAAATATGTTATAAAATAAGTTAGAAATGTGGGTTTAATGTGTTACTAAAAGCTGTAAGTGATGCATTTATGAGCCTTACGGTAAGAGGCGTCTCAGCTAGAAGACTAAAGCTTAAAGGGTAGTGACGAGGAAATGCTTTCTCAAGTTGGCCTTTTGCGCTTAGGTTGACCCTTCTGGTTGTGGCGGTGGCCTTTTCCCCGCTGCCTGCAGACTCTTACTGAACAATTTTTGCAGTTGCCAGGACCCTTCAATTGCTCTTTCTTGGATCTCAAGCCACATTGCGCACAAAGGGATACGCATTTGAGTGTTCTTTTGCCATTATTTCCGCAGACTCTTCCTTCCAGACCTGGCGAGCCAACGGTCTCATTACGTTCGCAGTAATCAGGCGACGAATCTTGATAGGTCAGAACCAAGCGACTTCTCCGGAAAATCTTTCCGATCCCAATAATTTGCTGCTGTGCACTGTTGGTCTTTTTAGCAGATTTATATTTGAGTTTCAGTTCGTTTGCAACTTCCTGCCAATTGTTACAATTTCTTAGCACTCTACCACGACAATTTCGTTCATAATTCGTCTTGAAAACCTGTTTGGGTATGAAAAACACCGGTCAGAATAATCAACGAGCGATTTATTTACCATACAAATCATAGCCAATTACCAGAGCTGGTTGTATAGGAAGCCTATGAGCAATCATCAGGGTAACATTTGCAAAGTTTCACCAGTAACTTGGAGTGTTAGGAAGGTGTCTTTGCAAGTGAATCAGATACAGGTGGTGCCTCCCGAAAGACAAACAATTAAGATTAGTGCTTCCAAGCAACGCGGGATTGTGGAATATGGATTAAATACAATTGTTTATGCCACTGACATTGATAACGCACCGCCAAATTCATGCACTATTCCATTCCCAGCATACAAAATAATTCTATAATAATTTATGATATTCCGATGGGAAAAGAAGAAGGGAGCCCGACCTGACTTACCAGCTTGAAGAGGTATCACGTATCTATCGATTCCTCGAAAAGGAGGCAGAGTCATTGTGTTGTGGTAGAAAGAGATAGAGAGAAGCGTATTTGAGTAAAAAGTGGCAGTGAAATTGACAGATAAGCCGGAGCAAACAACATGAAATATACGAATAAATAATATACGAAAACATCTTTTACCTCTATTCCCACTTCTTGATTCTTTTTTTCAATTTCTCTTCGTTCGTTGTTCCCTTATTTTCCATTTCTTGTGAGGTTACGCGTTGCTTTCATAGCAAATGACAGGTTGTTCCCACATCTAGACGTTCGCCCTGCTTTTTTTTCACAGATACATTCGGTGATTTTGTTTGCAGCACATTGAGAAACGATTTCTCGTAGGATGCCAGCAGTTGTGATCGCATGTAAAAACGCTGTTTCTTTGTTGGCTACAACAGAAAGTAATTGGCTGTTTAAAAATATTATGTTCAATAGCTAAAAACATTTGAAGGAAGGGAATAATACCCCTATTACCTATCTTTAATCTCTAAACCTATTTGCAAATCTTATTTCCAATCTGGTCCTTCATTCTTTATATCAGTATAGTCTTTATCACCATCGTTATTATCAGTTTGACCATAAAAGAAGAAGGATCCCCAAATAGAAGCTTGAGGAAGAACCTTGATTCTCCCCAATGTATTTCGTCCAGCTCAAAGCAATGACAAGTTACGTTGTGTATGATACATGAAATGATTATGACACCTCTTACCATAGGGCAGAGTTCTTTGAACAAAATCAGGTAATGCTCCAGTCACGCTTTTGTTATAAAAACTGCAGTCCCAGAGCTCGTCTTTAAAAAGCCGTTGGCACTCTTTCAGACCCCATCTTACTCCAGCTTTCTTGATTTTCAATTTTGTGGAAACATCCTGATTTTAAAAAAAACCACAAAAGAAATTAATAAGTAGAAAACCTCTGTTAATGGTATTCCAATAAAAACTAAACCATTCCAATCGCCATTCTTTTCGTTCTAGGAAGACCAACCTGTGATCTGAGTTTTAAAAAGATCAGAAATAAGAAACTGAGAGTAACAAACCTCTATGGAAATAGAGACGGTTGATCCTGAACCAGCTCTGCCGAAATAAAAGAGGAAAATGTTATTTTTGACGAGGAAAATGTAAAAAAATAAACTGCCAGGTTAAGTATAGAAAATAAATTTAGCTTTTTCAGAAAAGCAACAAGTAAAGAGCTGGCATCGCAATCCGCCATGTCTGAGTTGTCAATTGCTGGGGCGGATCTAGGATTTAGTCAAGGGGGGTTTGGAGAATTGTTCCCCTTCTGAGGGGTTCAAGATTTTGAAAATTAGGTCTTCGGAAACATGATTTCCAGCGTTCTGAGGGAAAATTTAGGGGGGTCGACCGAACCACCCGAAACACCCCTGGATCCATCCTAGAATTGGCGATTTCCTTAAATTTTTATTTTGTGAACTGATGTGACTTACCTTCGACTTTCTGTTTTAGTGACCATGTTCAAGAAAGTCAAGGTGACCATGATTGCTTGAAAAATCACTAAAAACCTGATTTCTGACATCACGAAGTTCAGTCCCGTACAATATCAGCGAGTAATAATTTGAATCTGGAAAATAATAAAAAATCCATCAATGATGGATGTTAGAAACACCTTAATTGATCAAATCCTCTTTAAAAAGAGGTAGCACGTGGTAGTTGAACTGATAATCCTGTTGCCCTCTATTAACCCACCCATCCCACCCCAGGGGAGGACATCAATCACACAGTAATCTCGAGTGTGGGAACTTAACGTCTCCCACCCCAACCCAGCAGGAGACGGGATCTCCATTTATTCGTCCCTATCCGAGAAGACTAGTATCTAACCATTTCTTTATGTCATAGAAAGGTAGCAAATTCTTCTCAATTATTTTAAGACCCCTCGACCTCCCGCACAACAGTCCAGTGCTCTATCCATTGAGCTAACCGGGAGGCGGTTAGCTCAATGGAGAGAGTTGTACTCAAAGTCAGGAAACTGTGAGCAGTACAAAGCCGATTTTTGAAGTCATGTCATGTAAGAGGGTGCATCCCTGATGAATGAATGCACGTAGTTCATGCAGCAATTAATGTCAATGGAATTAGTGAAAAAAGTGTTGTCGATAAGGTCATATATGACCATATATGCTTTAATGGATGCACGATAAGCTCTTAATCTACCTGCAGTTACTCACAAAATTATATTAGTTTTATACGAAAATAAATAAGACTGTGTGAGGTACAAAGTTGTGGTTTTGAGATGGGCGAGATGTCGGGCATGAAAGAGATCCAACAAGAAACGTTATCCAGCTCACTAGATGAGGTGAGCGCTTAAGCCTGTGCAAAATATCTTTTTTCTTTACACAATTATTCAGGTGCAATTATAAGAAGTCTATACCACTGACTAGTGTAGATTAGAGCTCAAATTCTCGCCTTGTGAGGATATTAGTAATGTTGGACGAAAGTGAAGCAACTTTCGAGTCAATCTGAATATCTTCAGGCACTTCATGCCATCATATTTACCACACATCATCGACTGTCTTGCCACCAGCTAATCTATCAGTGATTGGATGTATCATTGATCATTACTCTAAGTATGTTTCATTTTCCTCCTGGTAGCTATGAAAAGAAAATTGCTACTGACCTTTCTTGCTGGAAAAAAGTTGTCTCATTTAAAATTTGCTTGGCTTGAAACTAGTTCTAATTTTATCGTTTCTTCAAAAGCCAAGTTGACAGTGACACTGTTTCAAGATATACTGAGCTACACCCTTTCATCAGGTTCCTTATGCTTTACTCTGATCTGAAATTCAGTCCAAGAATTTTAGTCGCGTGTGATTGACATGAGTTAAAATAGTTTTCCTTATTGTGGTTTGGCATTGGACGTCTCGTCTCACCTCACACAGCAGAAAGGCATAATTCCTCTTGGAGGATTTAAGAATTCTTTCTTTTTCTTTTGCGAACGCTTACCACAAAATCTCTAGATCTTGGCATAAAAGCCCCTCGATGACATTCCCCCTCCCAGTTCTCTTTGAGAGGTCAAAACTTACGGCTTCCTCTCTAGCACGATTTATCTGCCACACATCACAATGATTAAATGCATACGAAACTTCGACTCCACCAAATGTTGCTAAGTTTGCAATAAAATGGACGTGAATTCTCCTCAGTTGTAATGAACCTTGTCTCTATGTCTGGAATGAGTTTGACTGATTTGGAAGCGATACTTGAGTATTGTAAGGATCTTCAAGTGCACATCAATTCCACAGAAATTCGACCTTTAATTTTCTTAAATTTCAGCTAAACCAGTTACAAGCAGCACGACGAAGTCACGTGAAAGGAAGCCTTTGAAGCTAACGAACAAACACTGGCAATGTCAGTCCCACGAAATAATGATCCTAAATGAAACAATATCCGAAATGTAGTTTTCTCGATTTTTATTGCAAATATATTTCATGGCGGTAAATACCGAATAAGGGAACAAGTTGTAGATAATGGCAACTGCCCATCGATTACCTTACAGTCTAGCGTTTCTCCTAAGTTATCCTAAACGTCGAGATAAATTAATTTGACGTTCAACAAAGTTTCTTTCGTTAAGTTTTTCTATCCATGCTAAATGTCACAAGAAAAAACACAATTAGAAATGAAATTAGCTTAGTTGTATCAACGAAAGCAAAATGAGTTGTTTTTCAGTTCCATATGCACCAAGACAATAGTCCAAAGGTCTCACCAGTCTTAACGTAATCTCAATAATCCATCTTTCATAGAGAGTGCTGGTATCAGAGATTTCCCGGCTAAAACTGAAACTCTTTTGAAAGTGGATATGCTTGCCATAAACACTTCAGAAAAATTGGATTGAATGAGAAACTGAAGGATAAGCGATTTTTATGATAATTATATTAAACTGGACGCATTATAGATTGAGAAAACACAAACTGTCCTCAAGATAAGTTTACGAGAGGAAGAACCCATAAAACAGACATATCGGTTACACTTGCAAGTTTAAAATTGGTCCGAAACCTGTAATTTACACTCGTTTCAAATGACTGGAATCTATAGTATCAGTACTTGACTTTCGGTAATAGTGTCAAGAACAGTGGTAAAATGTATTTTTTTTTTTTGCAAACATTATCACGGCTCATGAAACAGAAAAGGTCGCAAGTTCATGTGGTCTGCCGGCTGAGCTTTCACTGTGATTACCAATACTGAGGGACGTGGCACCTTTATAAGCAATCATATAGTCTACAGAGCTCCAGCGTGTTCGGTTTGATCGTGACGACGCGGACTTCGTAGACGAAGATATCGCAAAACGGTTTTCTTTGGAAATAATAGCTTTAAAAACCTGTTTGAAAGAAACAGAATACCCTAGTTTCGCTTTCGAGAGGAACATAGAAAGACCGAAGATAATTTTGTCTCTTTCAAAACCACACCCATCAGTTTAAGACTGTAATGGTCATAATCTAAACTCTTTTAAACCAAACGGCTCAAGAGCCACAGATTTAGGCTCTGGGGCGGATCAGAACGACATGGCATATTTAGGTTAGCAGACATCGGGTGACTGTCAGATCACAGCCCTCACTCAAAACTTTGTTTGCATCGAATCAAGCTTTCAACTACGAAGACGCATGAAGTTACCGCAGAGTTTGCTGAAAAGCTTTCGGTTAATTTGAGGTTGTTTTTTCGTCTTGAAGAGTTGAGAATGCTAAAAAATGATCCGTAATAATCACTGGGATGCAGTTAGTTCAGTAATAGGACCAAATACCTTACCAATATAATTTGAGTTATGATTGGCCTTGCAGTCCGGCTGCAGACACAGTTCCCGAGAGCTCTGCTTCCTCGGACGTCTAGCACACAAAGTTGACGGCGTCGACAGAACGCTCATTTAAGTAGCAGCCCGAGAAAGTGTCAGGAAGAGATTTCTTTGGAATTATTTTTTTCTCTATTGTGGTTTAGCATTATTTATGATTCAAGAGGATATCAGAGGGTATTTTGTCCGTGGACACCACTGACTTTAATGCGCTAAGTTTGAACATCGAAAGCTTCTTTTATTCAATTACATTTCGTTCTATATGCGTTAAGCTTTAGCACTGACGTAAAAGCAACTGCTCATAACAAACACAGGATGAGAAAAACAGCTCGGAACTTGATACATTCGAAAACATGTTTCTATTTTACGTGTAAAAAGCAAAAAACGTCTACCAATAGTTTCACTTACGTATTTCAAACAAAAAAAGCACTAAGGAAAAAATGGTTGACCTATTTTTATGCTGGTTTTTGATGGCGTGTTCGTCACATTCTCGCGTTGTACTCCGTGTGGTTAATGACATATAAAGGAATTTCTCCTGGGCAATTATGCTTAATGCAGATTTTAAAAGTCAAAACTTGCTGTTGTGACGTGTTGAAGGCAATATACGACATTTGTAAACAACTCTAAACAGAGGGAAAGAAGGGAGGGAAGAAGAGAGGGAGAGCGAGAGAGAGAGACGAAAAACCAACTAAACAAACAGAACCCCGGACGCAAAGATTGAAATTTCAGAGCGAATATGAAAACGGATTACTTAAATCATTCGGTGGCCGAGAAAAAAAGAAAAAAGGAATGGTAAAAGCTAGAAATTTACATATTTTGTTCCATATTAGAAAAATTGCGTGGTTTTAATCGAAAAACACCTTCTAAAAATACTGTCAGCTTATACAGTAATTAGTGTATAGTAATCTCTGAGTATTTGCAACAGATGGATGAATTTGATCGCAAAATAATTGATCCAAAAGGAATTAAAAGTGTTTTCCTTCAAGTCAAGGTTAAAACATGTTTTACAGCATCGATGAAGAAAACACACTCTCTCACGGACTTTTCATTTCTGCAATCGACGACGCAGAAATAAAATTACAATAAATCAAGGGAAAACAACAATGTTAGCCTTGTACGCACGATAGACGAACCTAAAGAGAACGTGATTTGTAACACGCTCAACTGTTTGGGAACAAATTTTAAGGGCACGACCTTTTCATCGCCTGCAGCACTGAAGAGTCCATGTCAAAACAGATCCGTTTATTGGCAATTATCGAGTATGCCGTTTAGCAAGTTTTCAACTTGGTCGAGGCATTTTTAGCCGTCTGAATTATATATAAGTTTTATGTTAATAACCGCAGTATCAATTTGTAAAGGTGAGTTTTTGTTAGCCTCCTGCGACTGTCATTTCCTACAGAAACATACAGATTGCTATAAATCTATTTGCCGACTTTTAAGTACGTCAAGAAATGCACGTGTTGTTTGAGCTTGTTTTATTTTTAACTCATACTTTGAAATAATCACATTGTTCCAAGCCAATCTGTCGACAGTGGTTAGAGGAACACGTTTTCAGCCATCTCAATTACTTTTAATTACTCTAAATTCCGACCTCATGGGAAAAAATTCCAGGACAGAAAAATGTGTCTTCAAATTAGATCTTTCAAATTTCTCATATCACTCTAAGTGGACATACTTAAAAAAATTACAATTTGCCACATCTGCAAAGATGGTAGTAGCTGAAAGAAGCATTCTCCAAGTTCACCTTAAGTGGAGCTCTACGTTCAGCTCTCGCAAATTATTCTTGCAGTAATGGTGCAAGGTGCGAAGGATAGCGATTAAATATCTTATTGCATCACCTTTTATGAACCCGGGCTTAATTTATCAAATTTTAGCGTTCAATTTTTAAACGAAAACTAGAGGGAGTGCTACAGCTGGTTACTATGCCACTACCACCGGTGACATTTCTTTTATTATTATAGAAATAATAATGGACATTCACTTGCACATTTTCTTCCAAACTCAAACACATCAAACTTTAATTTTCTATTTTTTGTTTTTCAAAATATTCACGCTGTCAACTAATCACTATTGTTTTCTTAACTTGGAATGAAGGAAAAGAAAAACGAAAAATTCTAAAAGAAGCCAAATATTTTATTTCATGCTTCCTTTTGATCAGTGCGTCACCAATCTTACCACACTGCTCGTTGATTAAACATTTTACATTTGATAATCATTCAAGGTTAGAAAAAAACAGAGACAAAAATAAAACAGCGATTAACGCATGAAATGCATATACGTCATATTGATCTGCTTGCAAGAGCTCTACATGATTTACAATACATGACATGATATTAATAATGATATTTAAAAAAATCCGCCTAGTAAGGCACATCAATTTTTTATCTGGGTCCTTTATTGAAGAAAAAATACCAATTAAAAATATCAAATGTAGTCATTTTTGTTCAGGAATAGGCAACTGCGTAGCAAGCAGATCTATTAATACACAAATTTGGAACCAAATAGCGCCCTAGCTGATCTCAATAAAAACTTGCAAACGTTTTTAACTCTCTTGAAACTTCTTCACTCCTTTTCAGTAGAGAGAAAAAACAACAAAACGCCAGCTACTTTCTGGTTTTCGGATTCAAAACAAATGGGTGCATTCATCTTAACCCTAACCGCAAAGCGGAACACCTTCAACGCCATCAGGTTCTATACGAGCCTTAGTAGATAAACTATTTACGAGGTAACATGAAAAGAGATCTAACCATTCATTTAATTTATTTGGAGTTTTAAAAGCCAGTTAGGAAATAGGAGTATCTTTAAATTTAAGTACTATTTAACTGTCAGACATCAGGCTCCTAAAGACCTTTCTGGAAATTGAACTGATTTCATCATAAATACTCTATGTTTGATCTAATTCTTTTTGGGGGGAAGATCACCTACAGGGCGGACGATCGAACGACATTTTGCTACACTGAGGCTAAGATAACTGTCTCAGTTTACCTTTCTCTCTATTTTGCATTTTGCTTCTTTTATGATCACAATGGACCTTAACAAACTGTTCCCGTCTTTGAAGCTTTTACTTCGTAAATTCGTCTTTCATATATAGTACAGGAATTTGTTTTTTTGGCAAGTCGTCAAGATTGTATTTGCTTTAGTGGGAGTCAAGCTGTTAACTGCTTGACAGTTGTTCTCTTTTGAGCTGGTTGGATCATAATTGAATCAACCCAGATGGGAAAAAGTGTTTTTGCCAAATTCAGGATCATGCACCCATGAAAAGGTTCCAAATATGGAGAAGAGACCACGTATGGAAGCTTCTCATAAAGATGCAGAATATTTCCAAAATTTTATTGAAGTACTCCTTCGGACCGCTTGACACGGTGAAGTCAATTTTGTTCTCGATTAGTAAAGCACAATACAATCTCTTTACATGGTTAAGAAAAATGGTTGTAGCTTGACATTTTCAAATAAACGATGTAAGTTAAAATCAAACTCGGTGTAGAATTTCACCTTTATTAGTCCTTGCGGGACTTAATATATATTTACGTAGGCACTTCAGCTGAGATTGTTTCTACTACACGTCCCATCTAATTTAATTTAGTTGTAGGAGTAAGCCTCCCAAGTTGAAAGTTGAGGATGTAAAATGGAAGCTAAAGGGCCAAAAAGGGTTTGGGGTTATTTGTTTTTAAACTCTTTAAAAGCAGACGCCCGATGATGTGAATGAGGCCTACAAACCAGATCGACAAATTACAAGCATACTTTGCAAGTTTTTTATTTCAAAGTTGTTCTTGATTCAGTACTTATCGTATCTCTTGATTGATTTGATTGTTAGGAACCGGGACAAACCAGGCGATGATTATCTGTGAGAGGTCTTTTCGAGTAGCCCTAGATTTTCATCAGTGCGCTGGACTAAATTCATCTTTGGCCGATTGATGACAAATTTCCGTAAACGTTCTTTATGTGACAAGAAGTATGTTTGTCCAGACGACTTTATTCCCTTGTGTTTACATTCTTCAATGATGTCAAAACACCTGTGGGATAGAAAAAGCTATTTGAGAAATAACAATACCAAAATGATTTAAATGCAAGCTATAAACATTTATCCCACGTAAGGATTTCAAACATTACATTGTGATCATATCTCAAACTGAAGGATTTTACATTTCCTTAGGAAATAAAAGGTTGAAAACTGTAAATGCAGGCTTTAAACAGCGTAGGAATGTCGCAATTCAAAGTTCTCACGAGGGCATCGATGCACTGAATTTCGACACCAGACACGTATAACTGTGAATCTAATGCGATTTATTGCGGAATAATAATTTGATGTCAAACACGTCAAACTAAAATACAAGCTAGAAAACCTAGTCTAAGCGACATTACACGGAGCTAAGCTAAAACAATAATTATTACATAACAACACAAGAAAAGACGAGCGCACAAATACCTAACAATAATCGATCAAATAATAATACGAAAACAACAAGGGGAGAAAAAATTACTATTACCGATTGTCCCTTCTGTACGCCTGAATAGAAGTCGCAAATGAACGCAGCAATTAACTTCGCAGATAACTCTTTCNTCGGACAGATCTTAATATCAATCGACTTCGATTCTCAGAGTTGAGGAGTAGGTTACATTGATAAATCTAAATGAAAAATATACAGATTACACGTAAATGTAATTTACCATAATTAATGTCAATATGCTTGTTGTATGCAGCAAGTGTAAGTTGTCACTCAACATCGCTCCAGTTTTTTTTTTTTTATTCACTAGAAACAAATGCTTAGTTCAATATGATACTCCTTCACTTTTTTTTGTTTACAATACCGATTGTGTGATGATAAGTGCTGAGGTGACAATTTAAGAAACATCAAATACGTGAGCCATTGCTTTAAAAAAAATAAGAACTTATATTACTGGTCAACTGAAATCTATCTACTCACAATTGTTTTATAGTTACAATAGTTAATAGTTTTATAGTTAGTTTTATAGTTTTATAGTTTTATAGTTACTTCTGCTGCATATACAACACGCGATTTATATAGGAGTAAGATTGCAGTGATGTAAGGGGAGGGGGATATGAAAGTGTCGTTTTTATTAGAGACGATTGTCCCAACCATTATGTCAAAGACTGCAAAGTAAGTTTATTCTTGATACTAGAAAGAGTCAATATCTCCGTATCCAAAAACCACAATTTCCTTTTTGAAGCAAGTCGGTTGTTTACAACACCTGTGTCACCTTGAAAGCACACCATTTGTCCTACAACGTTTGGAAATGCGCAGACATTTGAACTCTGTGTTCATCTCGCCATTTTTTTTTTCATACAAGGTAAAATAATGCATGTACAAATGAGAAAGCAACCAGGTTACCATGATCGCGTTCTTAGGGAAGAAAAATTTCGAAGAACATTTCTTCCAGTTACCGGGGTGTACTTAAAAGATTCTCTTTGTTCATCTCCTTAAACGAGTTGAGATTCCCCTCTGAAATGAAGCGAAGACCAAATTTGTACTGCTGACCGTGGCAGCTATTGAGCTCTTTTAAAGGGGCCCACGTGTTTATTGCTAAAAATGACAAATTTCTGAGAAGAATTTGCAAACGCCATTTTTATCACTTTATTGGTCAGATGTTTCCCATAACGCAGCAATTAACTTCGCAGATAACTCTTTCGCATTAACTTTCTCAAGCAACTTAACAACAGCTACAAAAACTGCGGATGTTGTTGGTAATGGACATTGTTGGGGGTTCAGCTCCTTTCGCTTTTGGAAAACTGCTAGATTCAAATATTATACGAGCTCTTTGGACACGGATTGACTCAGCCAATATCGCCTAACGATCGCGTACCCACCCTGCCTTTGGCTACTGCAAGGGCTAACTTTAAGGTTTACAATGATTAATGGAATCTAAACGCAAGAGGGCCATATTTTTCTTTCATCCTAACTAGTCAACCAACATGATTGGAATAGACCAAAAGGAACGCAGTCTTATCTTCCTGCTCACTGGCGCGGTTACCAAGCATGTTGAGATAGTGTTGCAGGGAATTCTCCATCCGTCAAGTCCGTCACACATTCGTGCTTCTTTCGTCATCATGTTTAATTTGAACTGGTTATAAACCGGTTGTAACATATTTATAATTGCAAGCCGAGGTTTGATTTGCAGTCCGCCACCCCTTGTCTTCGTTAAACCTTCAAAAAAAGGTGACGAATTATACTTCACCGTTCTCTCTTTGAAAGGAGGAGTCTTCGACAGTATAACTCTGTATTTTGATAAAAAATAGGACACAAACAGCAGTGATAAACATATTGAACTTGCCCATTTTGATTAAGACTTGACGTTTCGTATGTACTCCACATACATTTTTTAAAACAGCTATGTCTATATCTAACTAAGGGGAGGGGACTAGAACCAAGATTAAGCCAAAAGAAACTTAACAATAAACAATAACACTAGAGCAGATTAATAAAGCAACAGCTTTTCACTTCCGTGTTATTGTTTATTGTTAAGTTTTTTTTTGTTAATCTTGGTTCCAGTCCCCTCACCTTAGTTAGATATATACATAGCTGTTTTAAATTTCAACGGTTACTTTTGAAAATGTATGTGGAGTACAAACGAAACGTCAAGTCATAATCAAAATGTGCAAGTTCAATGTGTTTATCACTGCTGTTTGTGTCTTATTTTTGGTCAAATTACGATGGCTCAAGAACAAAAGAATTTACGATAACTCTGTATCTCCCACGATTCTTTTTGGGAAATTTTTGCATGAATTTTAAAAAGTATTTATTGCACTCTGACTTGCATTTAGTGTAATAATACTTTTTGGCGTGTACTTCATATAGATGGCCCCTAGTATAATTACTCCGTTTTTGGCGCTAGAATGTTTTCCCAGGGAGTCTAGGGACCAATTACCCCCCTTTTATTTAAACGGCACGCGACGAATCCAATACTTGGATAACGGTCAACCGAAGACTTCGAAGGAACACATAGAGATNACATTTATGCAAATTAAAACTGAGACCTTGCGAATTTACTTCCGGTTCACGTCGTCCTTGGCCGCGTCCAGGGTATCTTAAGGTCCCTAGTATCTTCACTGCGCGCGGTGAAGATATGATTTTTTAGGAATAGGAGAAATCCTGGTATTTCATCAGTATCTATATAATAATATCGCTTCTCATATCTAGGTCGAGTTTTTTCACTTCAGGTTTGACGTCACTCAATGTTTCCACGGAGATATCACGATAACCAGGTCTCACCATATCTTATTGAATTCGATTCGTGAATTTTTGCGAATTTCGTAAATTTTTGAATCTGTGAAGTTAATCGAGATTTAGTGAATCTCGATTAGCCAAGTAACTTCTTTCCCAAACCTTTAATTTTTCATCCTTTTACGAGCAGAAGGAAATAAATATTTTAGGTTGTTCCTCAAACAAACAGAAAATAAAAATAAACTGTTCCTTTAACTTTCCTTCCCTTTTGTTTTGAGTTAACTTCATCCTTTGCTATCCTTTTTTGCAATATGTTGCTATCATGCCCGGAAAAAAGTAGCAAAATGACAATACCAGACATTCAAAATACACCACAGATCAGTGTTATTGAATTTTGTGTGCCATTGGTAGATTTTTGGTCTTCACAAACTCATCTGAAAAGATCTAAGTCTATACAGTAAACGTGACCTTCAGATACAATGAAATATATGAAGTTCATATATTTAAATGTATCTGAAGGACCTTATCAAAAGCAATCCATTTTATTGATCCAGTTTATTGATATCATAGACAAACATACATACAGACATGTTTTTCTTTATGATCATCACTCATCGTATGGAGCAGAGCCATTACATCTTCTATGATTGCTCAACTTCGTTAATAAGATTAAATCTGTGTGGTCATTTCTCATGAAAAATTCATTGGATAAAACCATGCAAAGAAAAAAAAAATCTAGGACAAAAGCGATGACAACTCCTTCGAATGTTCTCGACGTTCAATTCCGTGAGCTGAGCTGTCTCAATTTTTTTTTTCTCACGAGGGTGTTCAGTAACTCTAGTTGCCTTAATTTTACCGAAAAAAATATGATCAGTATAAACACGATTTGAATCAAATATGTGTAAAAATGCATTGAATGCTCCTGATGGAAAGGGCTTAGCTCACCAGCCAAAGTCCCATCGGATGCACCAGTCTGGGCTATAGCCAGAGATGCATACCTAAGTTTCTGTGATCCTGACTGATTAATACGCTTAACCAAAACATGGCAGTCTGACTGCTAAAGGAATCAGCGTCAGTTGCGCCGGAGAGACGCGAAACGCACGAACTCATTTTGGGATAATAGAGATAAGCCAAGGAAATTTATGCTCTAGTGGTTCGATTACTTTCTCCATCACTGCTTTGATCACTCACTCACCGTGCCCTTTGAATACAACTTTAATCAAAAGAAGTTTGCCAATTCTTGAGCAGGTAATTCTGTGCGACGAAACACAGTGCCTTGGGATTTCTGTTACTTAACTATAGTTAAAGGAGGATACTGGTTAGGGAACCTGACAAATTTGTCAGTTTCTCATAAGTTTAACTGCTAGGTTTCCTAGACCTAACTGTGCACGACCTTCAATAGTAATCCATGGCAGTCGAACTGGCTGGCTTAGATTAGTTCTCACTCCACAGATGCAGGCATTTAATTCTTCAATGAGCTCAGTAAGGAGTTGTGTGGAGTGGCTCTTTGGTGATATAGTTAATTACTTTAAGTTTATTGATTTAAAAAAAAAACCTGAAGATTGAGCTAAGTAACATTGGAAAAATTTACATAGTATGTGCTGTGTTACAAAATGCTCTTACTTGTTTGTATGGCAATCTCACCTCAGAGTTTTTTCACTTACAACCACCCACACTACAGGACTATTTCGCATAACAATGTACTAGGTTATGGTAATGTTCACAAAATAGTTTTGTGAGTTAATTATATAAAACCCACCTCAATGAAAGAACAATCAATGGCTTTTATTGTTGTTACCATACATGTAGACAACAAAGAACACAAGAGGGAATTCCATCCCAAAATGCCATCAAGCTTTTCAAACTTAACAAGTTGTCAAACTCTCAAGAGGCAAGTGTAGAACTAAGTAGAAACAAGCAATCTGAAGTAAACATTAGAGTATATTCTCTGGAATACTTTCATGTCAAGATTAACTGTCTTTTCTTCCTGCAATTTGTTGCATGAGGCCAAACATCACACTCATGAGTTGATTGCTCTTTTGTTGCTGCTGTTGTTGATTAGCAAGTGCTAGTTCATAAAGCCTTGTTTACCGCTCGTGCTCCTCCCTTCTGGCTTTCTGTTCTTGTTTCATTGCCATATCAATGTTTGCTTTTTCCCTCAGAAACTCTATTGTATCATTGCCACCCTTTCTTGACGTTTTCTTCGTCGGCTCTGACGAACCCTCACCTTCTCGTTTCCGTTTTATCGTTTCACGCAGCTTTTCGCACTCCCTCTTTCGGACCTCCTCTCCCATCGCTCTGTCTTCCTCTGTCTTTTTCTTGTTATTCAGCAATAATATGTCTTGTTCTTCAGCTGCTTCCCACTTCTCGTTGATATCCTCAAGGGTTCGGTCCAGCTCTGTTTCCTCCACTTCCACTCCACTGTCTCTCCGTTCCTTCTGCATTTTTGCACGATACTTGTCCAGTAAAAGCTTAAGATGCTCCCTCACCGATTTCTTTGTGACAAGAAACTTCAATATGGCTTGCGAATTGAGGTTGTCGGCTACTTTTTGCCACACTTTTCCTCTTTTAACTGTCCTCGCCTTGTGACGGTACGGTCCGATAACAAAACCTCCCGAGCAAGAGCAATGTCGTAGTTGTTTGTCCATTCCATTGCCATACTAAAGGAAGAGAAAGTAGAATTTCAATCAAATCTTTGGCGCCATTTTTATTAAAACAAACACGAGTCGAAGAAAGATGGCGCAAAATAATATAAATAATGCAAAATCATTTTCTAAAGCGGTCCTAAACTGCCACT